TGTAAGTGAGTGTAGGTCGTATAGGGTAATTAAATTTTTTTTTAAATTACCGATAGTGTATCGACTAATTTTGAATTCAATTAACCGTGTACCTATATATATTTACGCGGCTTGTGCAATAGAGATATAAAAATAAAATAAATAAATAAAACATCAATATCATCCACATCCGGTCGATGCAGGTCGGACCGCCGCCAGCGCGAACGAAATCATTTCCAGGGTAATGATAAATTATTTCCCTTCGGTGTACATCAGAAATTGTCTTTAAAATAAGTATGAATGCATACACGTTACTGAATATGGAAACGTAGGTACCTATATTGCAAGTAGGTATATGTATTATAAATATATATATATATTATAGTGCTGCGAGGAAAACACTTAAACAAATTGGCCAAGTTTTCCGAGTATTTTGTTTGGCCTCAATTACTTTTATTACGTAAAACCTTAATATAATGTTTTTCGAAAAATGAGTTTTTATTTTGTCACCATCAATCATAGGTTATATTAAAAGTTAGAGGTGATGGATGATTTATCGTAGAAAATTTGGTACTATTTTGATCTAATTAATATTTTTTTCCCCGTACCCGAATTGTGTTCTTATTTTTACACATAGTTTATCATCACAATTCGAATCTAGCAGAGTACAAACTGCAGTGTTAATTTGCTCTTTTAAATAATTTAATCAAACGATTTCGGTTAGTTTAAATCTATTTTTGAAACGTCAATCTTAATTGTATTTCAAATCACCAAGTCTTTGCACAATTGCACTCGCAATGGGGCACACTGATTATTGGCATAGTATACGACGAATGTATTAATTACATTTCCAAAAACCTCAGAAATATAATAACACATTATTAAAAAGTAATAAGTATTAATTAAACCCAATAATTGCCAATAAAAATAATACACACATGCGTTTTTGTAATATTTAATTGGTATTTATTTATGTACCTATACACATGTACCCATATACTTACGTGCACACACATTAGGACACTTATACATGTAGGTACATACATATACGTACATACATGTCCCTGTGTACATAACGAATTCTACCCTTTTTTGCATAGTCTGTACCCAGCGGCGTTTCCGTCGCTAATTTCCGGTTTTCCCCAGTTCGTTCCGACGAGCTCCTATTCCATTTCCTCTTTTTTTTTAAATCCCATATTAATAAAGGTTCCATCAGATCGATGAGCCTTGAACAGAATTAATAACAGTCAGCGAAATTTAAACATCACAGCGGCCAATGCGTACGTCACTATAAAATTCATTAAAAAAATGAGTTAGTGGATGGCGGAGCAGTGAGGGAAATCCAATTCCATTATTATTATTTTTTTAAATTAATCGAGGAAACCCGGCGCCATTGCTGTTGAACACCTAACACAACTATGTAATGTTTAATTATAAACATTTCATTAACTTTTAAAAACCTAATGGCTTTTTTTCGGATTGTTCGGAATCGATGGGTTGGAGGTTGTGGGGGGAAAGCCGCCGCGATGCGTCGGCAGTGGCGGTGCTTTCATCAAAATTATTACTGTGCTTTAGGGAGTCCGTTTTTTTCTGTTATTCATTAAACGAATGATACATCAATTTTATCCATTGTGCCGTTTGTTTGTTCAGTAATTTCCAAAATTAAACAACCGACAACCTATACTATATGCCCCCGCGCCGGCACCAAATATATATTATTCTCGCCTCTCGGCCCGGAAACGGGGAAATTGGTTTCTTAAACGCTAAACTAATTTAATTTCGTTTCTTGATTGCTGTTGGTTAGGCCCCGATTGTTATATTATACGGTGGACTGATAGTGATTTATTCAAAACTACCCCGTATAAGTATACGTGATTTTAACACGATAATTAGGAGTCATTTATGGAAGTCTGCGTTTTCAAATGGCTTTTAATTCAATTCAAATGCCTATATACGTCCATATACGACGACGGTGTCTGTTAATTGAAATATTTGTTCCGTCATTTACTAACTTATTCGCAATCTCACGTTCCGTTTAATTATTTCCCGCAATTTCCTTTTGCGTTACGCATAAAGCGCGCAGACGGATTTTAACTTTATTCCATACCATCTGTTTACCGTTTTCGAGCAGTGGGCGGGTGGCTATTGTGTTCCAAAAAAAAAAAAAAAATTAATAAATAAAAACCCATTAGACTAATTTAGTGAGCCCGGATGTTAATGACGATGCATATTTATTATTTCGTATTTATGAATACGCCTAAATCGGAAACGAACTCATTTATCACAAGTGTATTACATTGAAAACTATTTTAATGCTTCCACACAATAAAAATTAACACTACACCATTCTGCTAAGGTTTTTGGTATTAAAAAATGTAAAAACACTTAATTTTATTCTATAGTTCTATTATGCTTATTTAGAGTTGAGACAATTAATTAAACTACCAAAACATAATGCGAATACAATCAGTAACAAAAAAAAATAATAATAATAAATACCATTTACAAATATTTATTTTTCAAATTTAACTTTATTCTAAATCCAATTCAATTAAACTACCCACAGAACATTAAAGTGGTTTTTATTTTTTTAAATAAGTTTCAAGTAATATTACCTTTTCAACAATTTTACTTTTAGGATCTAAGTAATTACATTTTATAAATCCTACCTCATAACAATCAAAACTTAGTTCTCATTACATTAAGAGTTTTTTTTAGTTTTGGTAACTGGCAAGATCCATTAAATAAAAACCGTAGATTAAATTAAAAAATTGAAATACTCCATATATTATATAATGCGTATATTATAAAACGTTTTCGTTTCGTTTTAAATTAAAATTAACTACCTATTTAAAAATTTATCGCGATCAATATTACAGTATATGTATTTTTTTTAAATAAATGTAAAAGCGAAAATATCCAACCCAACAAATTCGGATGATAAGACATTTCTTGCAAAGTGATTTAGTAATAAATGTTCAAAAGTTTGAAGGCACTATATAAAGCACCGTAATCTAAATAAACAAAACAATACGGTGTAATTGAAACGATGTGAAATTTTCACGGTGCAGTTATTTCACTATTTCACTGTTATAGTCTTAATTTAAAAAAAATTTGTAAAAACAATATAAATTGAACAAAATAAAAAAATTTAATACAATCGAGCGTAAAGTCGAATATAAGTCTTTCTGTTGGAGTGTTTATACACTCATACGTATGTGGGTTAAGTTTGTGAAGACGAATACGCATATAGGTATGACGTATACTATATAATATATATTCCGTTGCAATCTACTATAGAATGATGTGTCTGATGACGTGGAGAAGTAAGGAAAAAGGTCGAAAATTGAAAATTCACATAGGATTCACATGTTATTGGTGTGAGAGGGGGTGAGGAGTACCGCGTTTTATATAAATTCGTTGCTGATTGAGACGAAGCGGGTAAAAACACGTTTCTCAAAGGACGACCTAATTGTGACGATTGCCTATCGGCCGCCGCCACCGTCGACAATGAACCGTAATGAAACGATTGCCCTTCGCTTCCGCCGAAAAGGGACTGTTGATTGGGTTCAGGAGACCGTGGATAAACCATCAGCTGCAGCACTCTATCCTTCCACTCGTCCCCTCGCGATGGTCACCCATCTTGATTTTTATTTTTTATTATTTTCGTTGTTATTGTTGTTGTCGTCATTACGTATTATTATATAATACATAATATTATACAAATACAACCATCGAATATGTTTCTAACTCTGCAGATATCACACTCGTATATAGTCATATGCGCTCGTCGAATATATTTATAATATAATAACCTACGAGGGCAGGCAGGGGGGGGGGGCGAATCCGTCTCATGTAAATGGAGTACGCGCCGAACAGACCGTGAAAGGTTTTCTTTCATTAGCCGCGTTCTTAAAAATCGGATTTCTTTTCTATAAACGTATTTACACACACATAATATGCATACGTATTATATACACACCAAATGTATAAGAACCGCCGTGTATGTACGTTATACATACTATATTATTATATAGGTATGTGAGTCTATGTGCGGATAAGTTTTAAAGAAAAATACATATTTGAATTTTTTTTCGCACCGCACACAGCTATAGTGTAATGGAGGTGGTAGTGAAGAGCACGCGCATACGTGATTATAATGCGGTTAGGTTTTATGTAAAGGCAAATGAAGCAAACGAGTGTTCGGTTCGCAATCAGCGGCGGCGCGGGGGACGGCCGAGGAAATACCGACGCCCGTCGGTGGTGGTGAATTGGAGTTGATTGAGTGTACCATCGAGACGTGCCTTTTTGTTGAAATAAAATGCGTTCATTATATTGCTAACACACACACACACACACGCACACAGATATGCGCTTGCGCGCACACACAGCGCAGACAGACACACGAACGTATGGGGGAAAAATTGCTGCCGGGAAGGAGAAATAATATTGGTCTTTTTTATTTTTACTTTTTTTTTTCGTCGGCGAAACAGGTGGACAATTTAACCTTAATACGAGTTCTGCATAGGGAATTACTGTGAAAACTTCTTTTTTTTTTTTTTTAGCCCCGGGATTTCTTTGATTATTTAGAAGTCGGGAAAAAGAACTTCGTGATTATCAGCACGTTCTCGACGAAACGTTAAAAAAATAAATAAATCCTGAGATTTAACACGACGTTTTAATAATAATATATTCTCACGATGGAGAATTGGATCGCGTGTGGATCTATATATACCTATATACAGCGCGGTGTGTGTATGTATAAGGTATACTTCCTATTCCTACTATGTATATACGTGTTTTTATCTATACCGTTTTATAATGATCGTCGCTGTATGACTGCGCTCTATTACTGCAGTCGTGAGGAAACAATAAAACACGGTGTACAACACTGTATACGATAATCTGTGTTTTTTTTTTTTTTTTTTCGTCATATCATTGACTGCACGCCGTGGCTAACAGTTGGTATATTTTTAACCGTTTCAGATGGACACCTACTGCTGCAGCAATGGACGCCCGGGATGGATGTCCGTAGGAGAAACGCCGTTGTAAACTGTCCGACTGGTACGACGATGTTGAACATTGTAGAAAACGGTAAGTCACACGTGAATATTAAAAATCAAACCCCGCCCCGGTGTACGTATAGTTTAGTAGCAGATATATTATTATATACATATACATATATATATATATATATATATATGTGTATGCGTATATGTATGTTTATTGTGTGTACAACGTATACATATTATATATATATATATGGTAGCAATATAGCGTTGCTGCTGCAGTATAGTATTATAGTCGCGTGTCACTCGTAAAGAATGAAAATGGAACATTTCTGTTCCATAATGCATCCGACGTTAGGAATACGGGTGTTAAATAAATCGTGCGCGCCGAAGAGTAGAAAATGCGCGGAAATGAAAACCGACCGTTTTGGCCCTGGGGAGGGAGATGAAGAAAAAACGACGGGTTATTCCTTGGGCGGCCATTTTCCAAATTGAATATGTGTGTAACAATACATAACCCTTTGTTTTGCGTCCGTACATGTATACGCGAATTCCCGATCGGAACCCGACCCTCTCCCACCACCACACCAAACCCTCGGCTCTGTCCAAATAAATACGTATATATATATATATATTTACGTGCTATATAATATGCTCTCTCCAAAGTTTTTTTCCACCGCCGTCGCAGTTCTCTTTTTTTTTCTCTATCCTCCCCCTCACTCTTGGATTTACAACCTACGGGATTTCGGGTACACCTATACCTATTTAGTGTTCCGGCTGCGGAATTATTAGTTACACATCGTGTCGGTGGTCGGAGGGGTGAGTAGGCGGCGGATATATAGAATCCACAATAACACACACACACACACACACATAATTTATATAATAATATTATAACCGATACCGCACTATTAGTAAGCCACTAGTTATAATATGCTACTATATACATTATATATTTCAATATTTGTATGTACCGTTGCGCACATATATACGAAGTGTATTAGAAAAATGTCTCTCATCTGTCAAAACCAAAAGTCGTCTCCTCTCCAAACGCGTCTGTAAACCGACAACGTCCGGCCCCGGCATAAACGAATATTGAAAATCCCTCGATATTAAATTGGCTCTGTGTGAGAAACGGTTATATCCGCTGCGTTCCATATACACATTTAATATTCTCCCATCTCCCGGACGACGGCGATGACAATATATACGCGGGTTCCTACTGGTCTTAAAGGTCTTCTTATATTTATATATATTATTTAATACGTATGAGAGGAGCGGTATAGTAATATATTATAGGAGCGTGTGCAGCAGCAGCGTGGATGAGGTCCCCCTACAATCCATCCAAAAGTCATTTCTGTTTATTATTATTATTTTTTTTTTAATAATAATAATATATTGAGAAAAAAATAGCTCCCCGCCGTTCGTGTTTTATTGAAAAAAATATATAAATATATTTATAAATCCTTAAACCGAAGAATGTTCCTTCAATAATATAAATTGTATACGCGTTGGTCGGAAAACGCGCATGGTTCCCACAGAACATAAATTTGATACATATTAAATAGACCTAGTATAGAGGGAGTACTGCGTGTGTATACAGTTTAGAGTTTACACTTGGACTATGTGTGTAAGCTGCAGCGGTGTATGAATGGAAAAAAGTTCTATTGGTTGGCTTCCGATTGTATGTGGCGTTTGTCCGTTTATAAAATACGTATATTATGTGACTAATGCATTACGGTGTATTCCGTTTTGGGGACGTATATAAAAGACGAGACAAACATACATTTTGTCACACTTTTATTTTCGACGAAAAACAAAAAAAAAAAACAAAATAGAATGTTCGTGCTATAATAGGGCTATATTATGTTATTATTACAGCTAGGCGAGGTTACACGACGAAAATCGGATCTTCCGTGTATTTTAATGTTTCTGAACAATACCGGTATTAGCATAAAAATATCACTCTTTGACGTAAGCAGTGAATGCTGAAACGTTAAACGCTATTTATTTTGTTTAAAATTAATTGGTTTTTTTTCTCAATCTATAGACAACAAGCGTAAAGAGATTTGAGTGTATTATTTTTAGTTGTACCTAAGTTTGATCTTATAATTCCATTTTTCTCAGTTAACTATTTTTGTTTGTATTTTCTCTTGTTGACGTTAGTACGTTACACGTAGAATTTTTATTTTATATTTTATTCTTATATAGTTATATCTCGACTGTCATAGTCTTGTTACACTCTAAAAAGTCGTGTAGTTAGAAATAAATTGCGTCGTTAATCACGTTTTAGTTTCATATTAATTAAAAGCCCTCGTGATAAAAATATTTGTACCATCATCATCACTCGAATCGTATACGTTTAAATATAAACACACGGTTGTTTGTATCGAAGTTCATACGAAAGTGTCTATTTCCATTGGTAATATTTGATTGTTTAAACAGAAACGATACGTCAGGGAAGAGTAAGATCGAAAACGATTAATGTGTTATGGGTTTTGATATGTTTTCGAAAGCACACAGTACGTTTTATTCCGTTTATTAATATATATTATAGCTACACCGGGAATCGAATAGTTTTCTCGAGTTAACCAAACAGACGACAGCCAAACCAATTTATACATATCTATATATATATATATATTATATACTCCTCCGGGGTCTGCGTGCGTTGAACAATATTTGCTCGTCTTTCTTACATGCCACCCCGTTAATCATGTGCGCCCGTTTGTACATTTTCGCAAGTAAACGTTGATAAAGATGAAAAGATATTTGTTCAGGATTATTTGGATCGACGGAAATGGTATATATTATATTGGCCCGTGGGGATGCGGTAACAACTTTTTTAATAGATCTATAAACGCGATGACCTCGATCGCCGGCGGCGTCTTTTATTCGGTATAGTTCTACGAAAATTCGAAATTTCTATATAAATCTGAATAACCATTAACCATAATATCGTTTTACAAAATGATCAAACGGACACGTGTGCGAACATTCGCGAGTACCTATATTTAGGTTGTGTAAGTATTATTTGTTTTGGGTACACGTGCACGTGTGATTTAATACATCTCTTCGCGATCCAGCTATTAATCCTTTATTTGAAATAATAGTTTCAAAAAAAAAAAAAAAACACGAAAACATTGCTGGAATATTTGCGTTTCGACACGTAGCCAACAACCTACTGCAGTGTCGATTCCGGGGGAATTTTCGAGGAAGCGCTGACCGATTCAATTTTCTATTCACGGCGCGATGCGCAGTCTGGTGGAAATAAATCGATCTCGCTAAGTTAATAATAATCCGGCAACAACACGCGTCCATTTTTATATATACGACCGTAATGCTATTACGTTATTATGGCCTACGGGCGACGTTTAAATCGATGCGCGAGCATTAGAAGGCAATAAGCGGAATTGAACACTGCAGTGTGCCACTCACTCGGACCCTTATATTATATAGATATATGTATCGAATTATCCTTAGGGAGATGTCCGTTTTTCTGCAAACTTCTACTGTTTTCTTCGGGAGTTTTTTTTTTTTTTTTTTTGAAAAATCGAGTTTTTAGAAAGCGGATGACACCCCGGGGAATCCCCCGTTGAATGGATTATAGGCAGGGCGAAGAAAGTCGGGCGTCCCCCCCGCTCTAAACGGACAGCGTGCCCGGACACACCTTCCGAATGACAAATAACCTTATAACTGTCGGCCCACAAAACGTTTTTCCGTGTAAAAGCTGACTGCGGCTATTACGCTCGTAAGTCATAATGTTTTTGTTTCGGCCCGTGTTGCGGCGGAGTTCGATCAGTGGATGTACGTATACATATATATACTTGGTATACGCCCGTTACAGCACACGGTGACTCTAGGGGGCAAAGAATAGCACCTACATAACGAGAGACAGTGTCCAGAGAAACGTTAGACCCCTCGAGGAATTCAGAAACTATTGTTGTTTTTTTGACAAACAGCCAACTCAACTTTTGCCAAACGTTGTGTAATATCGACCAATCATTGTCAACCTATACTCACAGCATTTCATTGTCTCACAAACTCGATTGGACTGCGGAATAGGTATATAGTTAAGATAGTTAGGATCTGACAGCTTCATTTTTTTAGTGCAACGAACTTTTACCTCAATGCGACGCATTATTAAGATGAATTTATACATCGATCGCTGTCGTCGAAGGATATGTATATTACTATATTGTAATACTATAATTTACAATAATTATAATCCGTGTCATCGAACAATCGGAGAGTTAAAGCTTTTTATCAATATATTACATTAGTATAGTATAGTATATACATGTAGCTAATATGTACACAAAAACTTTATAATTAATAGGTATACGCTTTAAAACATTGGCTTAATAATGCTCCTTGATAATATCAACCTGTAATAATAGTAATAAATTAAGATTAAAGCCAATCAAATGTATCTAATTTTATACGCAACATGAACAAAATAAACTTATAGTACGCTGTAAAATTAATAATCTTTCATTTAACTCGAGCATATATAAAACAACTGCACAATTGGAAGGTATTTTCTAATGACCTTTACAGCCAAAGTGTATACTATTATAAATTATACTAATTATATACATTATATTGTTTTAAACTTATGTCTTGATTCGGTATTAAACACCAGAATTAATTAAAACTATATATATATATAGCATTATAGCTATATAATGTTATAACATATATCTGAGAATTGTATTTAAATACTAACCATTGTTTTCCCCCCTACACAGTACATCATAGGTCCCGGAATTTTGAAGACATAAAAATAATTATTATTCAGATTATATTATTATACTTTGAAATATTAAAAATTTGAATTTAACCATGTACTTAAAAGTACCTCAAACTGTTAAAATCAACATACATGCTAAACACAACATGAAAAAGTAGGGCCGAGTACTCGCTCCCGTCCAACTACCTATATATAGGTACAGACCAAAATCGAAGTTCAAAACATATATATTTAGATTATATAGACTATTACATAATATTATAAACGTATACCTGTGTATCGTGTATGGCGTTCGTAATTAATTTAGCTGCGACTAATTTTGCAAACGCTGT